GCAAAACTATACATTCTCCTCTCATTTCTGATCATGCAGGCACTGTTCCACGGCAAGTTCATTGACACAGGCTTCTCCCTGCCTTTCTACAAACGCATGTTGAACAAGAAGCTCATCCTCAAAGATCTGGAGTCTATTGACCCAGAGTTCTACAACTCCCTTATATGGATCAGGTACTTGTTCTGGAGCGTCATTCTAATTTTTTTTTTTAACTTTCAGTCTATCTTGTGTTTAAAACTGTTCTCCTGTAAGTTGTTGCCCGTGTCTTTCACGCCGAATGAGCAGATACTCTCTTATCTAGAAGTAATTTTCTATAGTACAAACACGGCTTGATGTTTATTAACGCGACCTCAACTTTGCACGAACTGTTAAAAACCCAGAATCAAAAGTCAATATTTTCCCTGGTGTAGATAACAGTATCTGCCCTCAGGGCTTGATTGGCTATGAGTGAGAAAACACTTAACTGGAAATAAAAGGTGTTAACAGACGTGCTTCGTACGTCCTGTATGCGTCGGTGTGAGAGCGCAACTTTGTAAATTTGACATTAAAAGCTAATCTTGCTTATTTAATAATATAACTAAATAAACCCTGACCACAAAACTTCCATTAATCACTGTATGTATGGAAAAAGGCAGAAAAGTACTAGAGGTCAATCAAGAGTCGAGTCACTCTTTAATTTTTATTTTTCTTGTTATTCCTTTTTTTTGCTAGATAAGGCATACGTATATCCCCCTCCTCTGATATATACTCCTGCCGATATAATCAACTCTAGCTGCTTAGTAAGAGAAAAGAGACGATATATTTTAGGCACATCGTCATTTGGTGACAACTGCTTGATTGCGTATCTCCTCAGGGACAACAACATCGAAGAGTGCAATCTGGAGATGTATTTCTCAGTGGACATGGAAATCCTGGGAAAGATCACCTCACATGACCTCAAACCAGATGGCGCTAATGTCCTGGTCACCGAGGAAAACAAGGAGGAATATATCAGGTTTAGTGAAGACACTTCTATGTCATATTTATTGTGATGGTTTTTTTTTTTATATATATATTATATATATTAAATCATACGTTGTTGCAAGCGGCAAAAGTGGGAGGTAATAAACGGAGGACCTCACTTTCAAAAAGCCAATGCTCCTTTATTAGAACATGTATGGCTCAATTTTTCAATTGGCAATATGTAGATTTGTACTCGATAATGGAGTATACGTTGTTGTCTCTCTTTTCTGAATTTGCAAAACCATTGTTTAAATTCTTTTTTTTTTTTTTTTTTTTTGGCGCAGCCTAATGGCAGAGTGGAGGTTCTCCCGAGGGGTTGAAGGTCAGACCAAAGCTTTTCTTGATGGTTTCAACGAGGTGGTTCCACTGCAGTGGCTGCAGTACTTTGACGAAAAGGAGCTGGAGGTGAGATGTGCTTTTTTTTTTTTTAACCTTTTGATCTTCATAGTTAGTCTAACTCCTACACACTGACCTCCATAGGTTTTTGTCAATATTAGTTAAAGAAAAACATGGACCTATGAGAACACAACAACAGTGCATGGATAAAGCAGATGTTGTGGCGGTAACTGACAGATGAGAGACATGTAGAAAATGTAAACAGACAGGTTTGTGACCGTGACACATGAACTCCAGTTGGCCCCAAAAATACATATAAAACCAAATCTTGCAAGAAGGTCCAGTCTCGTCAGATGTCAGTTTTCAGCTCTTCAATCACATTTACTCCTGTGTTTTCGTGCCCTTCCTGGTGTATCATTGTAAACCGACATAAGTAGCATAAGGTTTTCACAACTGCTATGGTTATTTAAACCCATAATAAATGATTCCCTTGTCTGTAATAAAAGTCAGGATGTTGTATAATCCCTGTTCTGAGAACTTCACATTTACGATCCATGGACTCAACCAACTTTTGGCATATACAAAAACATCATTCAAGCCCAGAATGATTTGACTAAATTTTTATGAAATCCTAGGTTTAACCTCAGAAACAATATCTCTGATTTTACTCCACAATTTTTTTATTAAATTCAGTTTTAAGTGTCCTATAATTCCTATGCCACTAAAACTGATTGATCTGTTTATCAATACTGGCCAATCAATATGAGATGCTTCCTGAACTGTGAACTGGTTGTTTTTGTATTTCATTGTTGTACACGTGTGCCGAAGATGTGTGAAATTCACTTTGGCCCCTCTCTGTTTGTGTGATCCAGGTGATGCTGTGTGGCATGCAGGAGGTCGATCTTCAGGACTGGCAGAGGAACACAGTGTATCGACACTACACCAGGAACAGCAAACAGATCATTTGGTTCTGGCAGGTAAAGTCTCATCGACAACACACACACACGCGCGCGCGCACACAAATACAGACACTGTATGTGTTCAGTTCTTGAGAATCACTTTTACGCGCCTTTTCCGTCTCATCCTTTGCAGCTGGTAAAAGAAGTGGACAACGAAGTGAGACTGCGGCTCATGCAGTTTGTCACTGGAACGTGCCGACTTCCTCTGGGCGGCTTCGCCGAACTTATGGGTCAGTGACGAGGAAAAATGACCGTGTAATCAGTCACTGCATGTGCCTTATATAAATGTTTATCAGTTTACCGTGTAATCAGTCACTGCATGTGCCTAATATAAATGTTTATCAGTTTATCCAAAGTCCAAAGTTGAGCATTTGGACTTAGGTATCGGCTAGGATTGTCTTTAGTTGTTTTTTTCAGTGTTTGGTCCTTAAGTTTTCACCGATATGGGACTAGTACCGATCCTGAGTATTGAGTCGAGTCATCCTGACTATAAATAGGACAATTTTATCTCAGGGTCACACAGTCTTGTTGACAATCAGTGGAAACTAAGCTGATGTGATAGCACGTTTATATCAGCTGAATGAATGGTGTCCGGAAAAAAGATTTAAAATGGACTAGTGACATTTCCAAGGCTGTGTTATGGCACTAGCAACCTGTACGACCATATCACGATAACCTCACTTTCATATTAATTTCTATGAAAAAGTACAAGCAGTTGAGCCTTGAGTCTGGTTTTCAGCAGTCCAACTCATGCTCAGTCCCACTGAGCTACAGTGACTTGAACTGTTACTCGTAATCATCCTCCTCATCCTGAAAATGTTCTTGGCAGCTCCGGTCCATATGGTTAGAATCTTTCGCCCGTCGTGCGGTGAAACCAGCTCTGATGTACTTGACCGAGTCTGCGCCCAACTTCTGTTTGAATTTAGCGTGTCAGTTCCACTGCAGCCAAAACAGACTCTGCTCCGGGTTTGACAGGTGACAGATGGCTTTGACTCATAATCCTCTCCTGTTTTTTTTTTTTCTCTCCCCATTATTCTGAAAAATGTTTCATATGGCAGTAAATAATTTGAGGTCGTGGTTGTGGAAATCCCAGCTTAATCATTTAAATGGAAACATGTCACGTTCTCTCCACTGCTCTTATGACCGGAGAGCTTCACAATTATCCTGCTGACACAGCACAGCTGCCTAGAGAGCATCAAGTAGCCAAGAGCTGAAGGGCTGCGCCGCAGGACGGTTGAATTTGGACGTCGATTATCTGCTTGTGTGTGTTGTTTTTTTGTTATGACATTTTTCACAATCTTCTCCGCAGGAAGCAACGGGCCACAGAAGTTCTGCATCGAGAAAGTGGGGAAGGACACCTGGCTTCCTCGGAGCCACACCTGGTGAGTTTTTACAAAGTTACTATTGATATGAAAATTGACTTTTGTCAATAATAGAATTATTTCATTTATTTTTATTTAATAAGAAACAAAAAAAGATGTTTCTGGATACAGGTTTTAACAAATTCAGGAACTATAATCAGAGAATAAAAATGTTTTGTTTGAGTCTAAATAAAATAGGACTTTAATTAACATATTATCCTGGCTAAAATTGAACAAAGTCCATTTCCGTAAGCCGAACTGATAAAATCAGATTTTAGAACTTTTGCCTAAAAAATTTAAAAAACTAGATAAAATCAGATTTTAGAACTTTTGCCAAAAAAATGTAAATTGAAACAATATTCGAAGATATTTGTTAGATATTAGTCACAAATGTAAAACACATGAAACACTCATCTACCTGCTGTTGTTTGCCTTTCTGTTTCCAGCAATAAACTGTTACTTACTTCATTCAAAAATAATCATATCCCTTTACTTTTTCCATTAAAAGATAATCTGGCAAAATAAACAGACTCTAATACTAACAGAATAAAGACTAAAAAAAATTTTTATTTTAAAAATGTAATTTTTAAAAGTCTTTCAACAATGGTGCAGAATTACTGGTCCGCAGTAACAGCTGATAGCAGTCGACCGCTCCTTGGTACGAACAAGGTTGATGTTTATTCTTGATTGTGACTAATTATTTTTTTTATCATGATTTATTTCAAATTTAAATTGAAAAATTGAAAATATATAGACCGTTTTATCTCCAGAACAGCTTCTGATATCTTTGACTTGTCGTCCCCGCTCCTCCTTTCAGTTTTAATCGCCTCGACCTGCCTCCCTACAAAAGCTTTGAACAGCTGAAGGAGAAGCTGCTGTTTGCCATAGAAGAAACAGAAGGATTTGGCCAAGAATAGAGGGAGGAGTCTTTGTTTCTTTCTTCCTCCCTGATTTTTTTTTTTCCTTCTCCCTCCCCCTTCACTGTTGATCCGTTCAAGTAAAACTACAAAAAAGAAATTGCACAAGAAAAACCACCAATGTATATAAGCTATTTTTTCATTTTAAACCAAATCTTAATTTGCAGCGTTGTTTTTTCTGCTGCAGCCGTTCCCCAGCCCTTATATAATATATATAAATATAATATACCGTCATGAAATATGCAAGATTTATAGCATTTTTGTTTGTCTGTTTAAAAACAGATGTATCATGGGTATTTTTTAATTTCCTCCCCTACTGCTGACTGGCTTTTTAAAAACAGACTGAAAGCATTTTCGAGAGGATTTTACGGTAGAAGCACATTCTACTTTTAGAGCTCTAGTTCTATAGAGCTTTTAAATGGTAAGAGTAGTATTGGGGTCCAGTGCCTGATTTTCTTCTTCTTTTTTTCCCCCCTACTCCTCCTCTCTCTGGACCCATAGTGATAATGTTTATTTGCGTGCTTGCATGGCTGCCTCAGAAGATGAGTAAAAAGAGCATTACACACCAGAGACACAAATAGCCTGGATCATTCTAAATCTAAATGAGCAACTTTGACCTAAAAGGCAAAAAAAAAAAAGGGGAAACACAGATGAAGCAACAAAAAAAAAGAAGATTGACCCTATTTGATTAAGACCATGTTTGTTTGTTTTGGGTTTTTTTTAAGCTACTGGACGAACACTACATAAAAAAAAAAAAATAGGAAGACATGTATTCCACTTCAGCTGCTGTTTTCTGCTTTGGTGAATCAAACGTCCATTCAGTTGGAGAGTTGCAACTGAATGCGCTGCAGTTTGGAGAGTTCTCATACAAAAATAAAAAGAAGAAATACCAAACACCAGATTGGGGCGGCTCACTGGTTAATTGTGCTTCGAACTTGGCTGAATCTCTGTCGATTTCTTTGAATTCTGTAGCTGTCTAGTCTGAAGTCCCGTCTGTGGAGTCACTGTGATTTATAGAACGGGGAACATCGCAGCACTCATTCGACAACATGCGAACCGGCGGCGCCGTACGCTCGCCAAATGCAGTCACAGAACGGTTTAAATCAGAGGTGTCAAACTCATTTTGGTCCACTACAGCCTGACTAGACGTCAAGTGACCAGTGCAATCATAAGTCCATGTTTTTCCCCTTTGTTTTTATGCAAATTGGTTCACGTTTTAGAAAATAATTACATTTAATGAAATATCATTTGACAAAACATCACTTTTTTTTTTTAAATTCATAAATTCAGCGGACTAATTTTGGCCCGCGGGCCGTATGTTTGACATCCCCGTGTTTAAATAAGAGCTTTGACGTTGCTCGGTGCTGCTGTCAGAACCGATTCGGCCGTGATCTGAACTCCACCCCTGGCATATTTCACGAGAACGTCACAGCGACGTAACAGGTTGTTCCGAATGTCATCGTTGCAGCGCTGATGCCGAGCCTGCATGTGTGTGTGTGTGTGTGTGTGTGTATATGTGAGACACTACAACAGTCGTGCTCTGCATTACCGGCCTTTAGTGCTTAAGCAGAGGTCACCTCGTACGGCGAAGGTCACCTCTCCCTCCGTCCATTTCTAAGTAACTGATCCGGTGCTGACTGCGGGATAACCACACAAAAAAAACATCAAGTAGAAACACTAAGTACAGAAGCGGGGGTTACCTTTGGAGCGCCGTGTGGTCAATGCTCAAGGTTAGTAACATTCTCGGTCAAGTGTATAACGGTGTCGTAGAGCGAGGAGCACCAATGAAGGAGCGTTCACTGTAGCAGGAGGGCCTGACCTTTAAGAAAACTCCAAACCAACTTTCACAGTGTGCTTCCTTTAAAGCAGAAACCTGTAATACACCTTTGTTTGTGCGTAGTCCTTGTATTTAAAAAAAAAAAAAAAAAAAATTTAACAAATGAATCAAATAGTAAAATGTCTCTTATCTCAACTCAGCCGCTGCTCCATCCGTGGGAAATGTGCGATGCCTTTGTCCCTGTCAGGAATAGATGGGAAGTTTCAGGTTTGCTGTGGCCGCAGCCACGCCTCACCTGGACAGGATGAGCTCAGCCGGCCGGTTCAGATGATGGATGACGCTTTATATATCAGGACAGTGAGTGATTGTGCAGCAGGTAACCTTTAACTGTGCCCCACTGCGGTTTTGGCAGTCTGAAACGCACCCATGAGTGTAACATATCGCGTGTAGATACACACTGTAAACACCACCACACTGTACAGAATGGCCCTTTTACTGGAGAGGACATGTATAGAAGATTCATTTTTAATCTGCTTTCATTCATTTTAAATGAAAAGAGATGGATTTATGAGATACAAATAAATACGTGAATAAACCCACCTCGTGTGCCCGCTCTGTTTCTGTGTTGACTTGCCGAATTACTTGCCGGGATGCGCTATCGCCCACTAGCGTGCCGCAAGATATCGTCACATATGCCTTTGAAAATTCAATCGAATGTCACACGAATGGTGTGAAAATCGATTTTGTTCTTTTCTAAGGGAAAATGACTGCCCTTCGGAACCTTTGAGTTTCTCGAAGTAGAGTAGAAACAAAGAGCCTTTAAATTGGGTCCTACAATGCTGACATGAAACTTTTATATTTTAGGATGTTCAAACAGATGAAGTCAGCATGTTGACGTCACCGTGAAGATCCCCACTGCGGGTTATTTCAGTACAACCTACATATCGGTGGGAAGGATTCAGTACATTGCTGAATTGCATAGATTTTGGACGTCGGTACAGTTGTACAGCTAATGCTAATTCAACTAAAGTGTGAATATTCTTAGGCAAAGAAACATTCAAAAAGTTGCTGTGCAAACCCAGCCACGAGGTGGCGCTGTAGAAGTTTACATTTTCAAAGTCAATGTCCACATCCCAGGGCAAAATTTGAGCTCAAAATGGCATTGTCTGTGTACTCCACTGTGTCCACTGTAGTGGACACAGCGTTCCTCTGTCCTATTCTTCCATTAATATGCTGCTGGCCTCTTGGCAGCCTCACTGACAACTGTTGTTTCTGTCTTTTTATTAATGTGATGTCATATCTTGTCTTCATGATGACCTCTAGTGTTTTCAATGGCTAAGAAATTGTCAATAGATTTTCTTTTAAAGTCCCATTAAGCACTGCACACCACTTTTGCTATATAATTCTACTTAGCAAATTGTGAAAAACATTATGCTACAATAGAAATGTATTTGATGCTATAGCCTTATTATTATACCTTTGAAACCATCAGTTGCTCTGTTAGCCATGTGTGCGTTTTTGTCTTAAATGCAACATATACTGTACAACATTTTTCTTTTTGCAAAAAAAGATTGACGATACATTATTGACCAGATTTGTATTCGTTTGTTTATTCAAAACGACACAGGAGGTCCTCAAATTGTCATGGCCAGGAATGGATTTAAATATTTCATTTCAACTCAACAGGAGCAGCGAACAACTTGTGCTTCAAACGCCTGTAAACCTCTTTAAATATAATATCATTTTATACTAGCACGCTCAACGTGAATTCCTGTACAGTTGTTAAATCCACAGTGACAAAATGCACCACAGCTTCATCCCAGCTTCTTGAGGAGCTCCACTGCTTCTCTATGGACCTGCAGAGGAGGATATGAAATGTAAAGCATCTGGGTTCATATTCTTTAATTTGTTTTTAATCTTTTTTTTTTACCAAATGGCATCACAGCAATCACCTCTTTATCTTCTAGCGTGTGAGCAGGATAATCTTTAGCTTTGGTCAACCAGAACTGCGCCATTTGCTTGTCGTTCATGGCCAGGTAGGTCCTCCCGAGCATGAGCAGATTTTTGCTGTAGAAGTTTGGATCCACTGAGGAGAATTCAACATACAAGCTGGCGAGTTTTTAAGATTTTACAAAGTACACTTGCTTTAATCGGGAAACAGCAATTTCACCTTCTTCAGCTTTCAGGAAAAAGTCCAGAGCCTGCAGAAGATGAACAGACGTGATTCGTTGTCAAAGGCAGTCAAAGGTGAGCAGTGACGTAGCGTGGAGGAAGTCTCACCTCTTTGTAAGTAGACTGAGGCGGTGATGAGAAAATGGCAGCTGCCACTTTGCGTTGATACCACGGCAGGGCGGCAAAACTGAAGCACCTGTAGAAGGGACCAGAATTTCGTGAAAAAGTAATAAACCATACCAATATTAAAAATAATATTAAACCCACTCCTAACCACAGGTACAAATTTACAATTTCAACATTTACTTTCTGGCTGCAAATACATTCATACTAGTGCTGCCGGTCGACTAATAAAAGTCAGACTTCTATTTGGGCTCCATTGGTCCTGTTACACTTGTCAAACTTGACAGGTCCAAGTGCTGCTTTACTGACAGGTTTAAAGGACCACCTAATCTTTTGCGGGATTTTTCCCTGATGCAGGTGTGACCATGCGATTGAAGGCAGATGGTCACCGCCTCACAGTTCTAACGCCTGCCCCCAGGTGGCAGTCAGTCTCTCAATCACCTGCTCCCTCCCAACTTTAGCAAGCTATCTGATTTAAAGTGTTATTTCAGCTCATTTGCAGTTTGAGCCTTGACGGTAATTGACAACGTTAAATAGTGTGAAAAAGTATGTACAGTACATGTATAAACCACAAGAGGCATCAGTCTCTAAATCCTTAAAATTTTAAATAGCCTCACCAGTATCCCAAGATGTGTATGGACGTGGCATCTTTAGGATTGAGTTCAATGGCTTTCTAGAAAAAGGAAACACATTTTATTTCAGAGAAAATGGTCAACATAAAAAAAACAAAAATGTAAGCCTGAGTACCTCCTCACCTCTAAATGTTCCCTGATGATGTACGAGTTTCCTATTTTAACCTTGGTCCCCTCGTAATCGCCCACATCACTCAGACACACTGCGTACCACTGTGCCAGCAGCCGTAAAGAAACAAATGTGTTTTTAAACAACAGACTTTAATTACATTTAATCAGATTTTTGTTTTAGTTTCGCAGGATATGACACCTTTAGATATAGATACAGCTGGAAGAGCCTATCAGTTATGTGTGATTAATATATTAACAGATACAAAGAAATCATACCTTGTGTGCTGCAAAGCACTTGTCATCCCTCTCCAAAGCTCTCTTGGCATATTCCAAGGCCTCGAACACCAGCTTTTTTTTCTGCTGTGGGTCCATGTCAGGCAGGAGGGAAAGGTCACGGGAAGCCCGGGCCAGTCTCCACAGGAACTCTGCCTCATTGCTGCAGAATATGCATGTGCATATTTAGATATAATTCACGTCCGAGCAAGCAATTGAGAATTTCCACTTCTCAATGTACAGCATGTTAGACATGTTTTAGTTTGGTGCCACCTGGTGGCAGAAAGTTGTGACAGCGTCCTCACCTGTCTTTGTGCTGCAGCAACAGCTGATAAAGCTTCTGTGTCTCTGCGCAACTGTACAGGTAGTCAGCCTGCTCCATCACCTCCTCTGAACAAATGCACGACACAATTCCCCCGTTCACTGTTTGCCAATATGGCCTAGTGGCAAGACGATCAGGCTGATGCTCATTTCTGTGACACTCAATGTAGTGGTGTGAAATGTGTATGTATGTTTGTTTGTCTGTATGTCAGTGTGTATATATTTATTTAACTTAAAATACATTACCATTTCCAGCAGCATGGAGCACAGATGAACTCTTCAGCTGCTGATAAGCCTCATATCCTAGACAGGAAAATGCAGAGAATCCCAGGAGAAGTCCTACTCTCCCATCCTGTTTGTAGGTAATGTCAAGTTGAACAGTTTCAGATTTTTATTTATTTATTAAGACAATGCTGACACCAAATTTGCTCTAACTGGCTAATGCATGTAAACACCAAAAATACAAGTAGTATGATATTGTTTATATCATTAATAAGTATACAAATAATATTATGCATGAAATTATGTCAAATTCATGGTTATTGTAAATACCAGTACAGCCAGGTACAGTACATAACAACAGCCGCAGATAAACAACAATACAATCACATAGTAAACCTGAATAGCTGCCTTCCTGGACGTGGTCAAGTTTAGCCATCGTGTTCTCCGGATTGCTGTCACTGTGGAACCGGGCACTGAAGATAAAGTCCTGCTCACAAACCGAAATAACAACCTAGAAGCCATTAAATCATACGAATGGACGCTGCAACATTAGGTCAGTTATTAGCAGGACCAAAGAGTGCGTTCAATTGTCTTGGGTAAAGAAAAATATCTGCAAACGGACTACAACACAAAATAATTAACTATTTTTTTTAACATATATTCACTTTGTTATTAGAAAAATGTAGCTAGCTTGATGTTTATATTGTTTAACACACGTGTGTAGGTGTGTGTTTTTGCTCAAGCACCAATGAGTGTAAATATAAACCAAACTATTTTGTAACATTATTGAACACAAGACGCTCTACGAGTGTTCTTAAACGCAGCACAGAGGAAGCTGGTGTGCAGCACAGGTGGCCGATAAGAAACAAACCACATTCGCTTTAGTTCCGCATTATTACATAAATCGTGCTGCTCCTGAGATGTAAGTTTTTTTGTTTTGTTTTTTATTTCTCTCTTTTAAATCCCAGCACAAGCGCACAAAATACACATAAAAAGAGCACTTTTAGCCAAAAAAAAAAAAAAAAAAAAAAAACTGAGGCAGAAAGAGGAGGAGGGCTTTACTTCACACCCTGACCCCGGCTGTACTTCTCAGCTGTCGTTGTCAGACAAACACGGTATATAAACAACTCCAGAAGGACGGTTGGAAATTCTAAACAGGTAAATAAAGTCTAAGTGAGCTCTATCGTACGTGATTTCTCATAGACAACAATATATTATATATAACGGTATATTTGTATACAATGTTTGTGTTTGCTTAACCGCCACACCCACTCGTGTCTGTCGTAGTGTAATAATACAGTACATACAATAATAATACAATACAATATTATTCTTGTTTGCTATAAGTTATATGTTAAATAAAGTTAACATAAAGTTAACATAATATGGTTAAGTGGTTGATGCTTTTTTAAAAACAAACAAACAAACAGGAAAGACATTTGCATTTACCCTTTTACACAATATGTGTGAGTATTCGAAGACATTTTCCTCAATATCTATAATGTGGATATTTTTGTGGTCAGAAAAAAGACAGCTAGTGATTTTAGTCCTCATCGTATTCGTGCATATCCTGGTCATTTACGTCATGTTTTTTTTAAATATTGTTTCAACTGTATTTTCATGTTATTTTACTAAGCTGCCATGGCCTCAGGTGGAGTCACGGTACCGGGACTCACATCCTTAACCAGTAAGGTTGAACTGACCATCTCCTGTGAGAACCTCATGGATATGGACGTGTTCTCTAAGTCTGATCCTCTCTGCGCCTTGTACATCAACACCACAGGCTCCCAGTGGTCTGAGGTCTGTCATTTTATGTTTTTTTTTAAATTTGGGAATATTGAGTAAAAGCTGTGTAATTAGTTGATTTTTTAAATAATCCTAGCTATGAACATCGTGTTGCAAGTTCACCTTTCGTGTGCATTTTTTTTAAACAGTTTGCACGCACTGAGATGATCCTCAACTGCTTGAATCCAAAGTTCGCCAAAAAGTTCGTGCTGGACTACTATTTTGAGATGGTACAGAAGCTGAAATTTTGCGTGTATGATATTGATAATAACACTTACGATCTGAGTGATGATGATTTTCTGGGGGAACTTGAATGCACCCTAGGCCAGGTGAGTTTAACCTCAAAATAAGTCTTTGCTTCTTCTTTTTTACCCATATTGTTGCGTGACACCGATGGTGTTTGTGTTGTGTTCAGATTGTGTCCAACAGGCGGATGACTCGACCACTGGTGCTGAAAAACAATAGACCCGCAGGCCGGGGCACCATCACAGTAAATTGACATTTCTCTTTTTTCTTAATGGTGTACAAAGACCAGGCATGGGCAAACTAAGGCCCGGGGGGCCGGATGCAGCCCGTTCAGATTTTTAATCTGGCCCGCCAAATTTTTAATATAATTTATTTATTTTATCATTGTACATCTGCCTTTCCCTTGCAGTACCCAAGTTTCCCCAATAGATGGCGTAGAAAACTTTATGTACCCAATTTTTTCTTTATGCATGACTTTTACATGACATTTATCTTATTTCACATCAACACTCCATCTATCTGCACCTGACCCAGCACCCCTGTTCAATTTTAGGACAATTGTGGGCCACGAGTCAAAAATAAAAATAAAAAATATTATTGATTGCTATAAAATAAGTTTTTACTACATTCAAGAAATAAATAAAGAAATAAATAATACATAAATAGATTTAGGTATAGGTTTTTAAAGCCATGTGTATAATTTGAACCCTGACTATGTACTTAATATTTCAATAAATATAAATAACTTTATCTCCCTTTTTACTTCAATAATAGATCTGTGCCGAAGAGATCACAGACTCCACAGTGGCAGAGTTTGAGGTGTCGGCCCGAAAGCTGGACAAAAAGGTAGAGCAGGGCATCAGGGCTCATGCTTAAGTTTGTTTTTGTCATTTTAGTTGGCTCTTATGTTAAGTTCTATTTCTATAATTATTTTTTCCACATCTTTACTGGTGTATTTGTCAGTATTTGTGGTGGTCTGATCCCTTCCTGGAGTTCTACAAGCAGACAGAGAACGTTTGGCAGCTGGCTCACAGAACAGAGGTGCATGTTTTTCCCACCGTGCCTTCATTTGAAATGATCGTATAAATTGCCGCTTCACTGTAACCCGTTGTAACGTGCAGGTTGTATCTAACAACCTCAACCCGATATGGAGACCCTTCCGTGTTTCGTTAAGATCTCTTTGTGGAGGAGATGTGGAGAATCCCATAAAGGTACATGCGCAATTTTCAATGTGGAATGTTTCTTCTAACTGCCTTATTAACTGTTAGATTTCTTTTGTCAGCTGCAGCGACCTTGTTATTCTAACACGTACTAATAATTGATCTTCTTGCTTTTTTTTCTCCTCTTCATCTTCTGAAAGTGTGAATGCAGCCCAGTTGGATGAGCAGCTTGTGTGTGCATGTCAGCTAACATCACCAATCACTGTGAGGTGTGCACTTACGTACAGTAGGTTCATGAATAATTTTTGATGCTACTACAAAATTCTCTCGTTCTCTTGTTTGGCCTCCCTTTGTTTCAAAACAAAAGAAAATCAAATTGAAATTGTACTTTCAGAAATACTATTTTGGATTTATGTTTTCAAATGTTTCTTTTTGAAAATAAGGTATACAGTAACATAACTTTATTTCAATTATTTTCCGCCTAACCCAGGGGTGTCAAACATATGGCATGCAGACCAAAACTGGCCCGCTTGGGGGTTCACTCTGGCCTACTTAAAGTTTGTGGTAAAATTTTGTCAAATTATATTTCAATAAATATAAATATTTTCTTATATACTGACACTTATTTGCAGAAAAACAAAGGGGAAAACATGGACTTATTGTTATTTATAAGTAATTGTGCTTGTCCCACATGGTATCTAATCAGGCTGTATGTAAAGAATGAAAACAATACTAATTGTACAATATTTAAAATAACAATAGTTGCAATAGTATTACCTACTAAAACAACAACCTTGAAAATAACAATAGTTGCAATAGTATTACACTAAAACAACAACCTTCATGTGTTGTTGTTAAGTTTATATCAATACCATTATTAACTATGTCCTAATTGCAATGCAGCAGTGTACCAAGAAATCACACAGACATTAAAATCTTCTTTAAAACTCCTCAGGTTGACTGCTTCGATCATCATTTCAGCGGCTCCCACGAGCTCATTGGAAGCTTTAAAACAACACTGGCCGAGATGCAAGCTGGAACACACGTTTCTCCAGTAAGCATTTGGATGTCATTTTGGCAGACAAATATTGTGCAATGGTAAATCGCTAATATTGTGGGAAATTGTTTCGTAGGCTGAATTTGAGTGCATCAACCCCAAAAAGTCGAAGAAGAAAAAATATAAGAACTCTGGTGTTATTTGCATCAGACGCTGCCAGGTAATGTGGGAGAATATGTCACTGATTATGTAACGTTGCTGTTCACTAATTTCTTTTCCTACTGTTTCTAGCTTATAAAAGAGTTCACCTTTCTGGACTATATCATGGGAGGTTGTCAGCTGAACTTTACTGTGAGTTTTGAAAGTTTTATATACTGAGTTTTGTGAGTTTTATATACTGTATATATATATATATGTATATATATATATATTATGTATACATATGTATATATATATACTTTATATACATGTGTATATATATATGTATATATGTATGTATGTGTATGTATGTATATATGTGTATTTTGATATTGTATATGTATGTATATGTGTATATATGTGTATTTTTATATTGTATTTTTTTTTCATATATACATATGTATGTGTATCAATGTGTGTGTATGAATACATAAATATATATTTATGTATGTGTGTGCATACATCTTGTTTTATTTCGTTGACATTACTTACTGTTGCCCAGATTGCCATCGACTTCACCGGCTCTAATGGAGACCCCAGATTTCCGCAGTCCCTGCACTACATCAACCCCGATGGCTACAATGAATACCTGGCAGCCATCTGGGCAGTGGGAAATGTCATCCAGGACTATGACAGGTGGAACCAAACTCAGGTTTTTCCACACGTCTCCTAGTTGAGATACATCACATAGCTCACCTGCAAGTGTGAAAATATATGCCTTCTACATGTAAAGCCACAACATACAATGCTAATTTCTGAAGGCCATTTTGTGAATAATTAATAAGTTAAATGTAGTTTTACAATTTCAAAATGTATGTTTTGCTCATGTTTTATCTACTCTGTATTTTTATTTAGTAACAAAATGTTTCCGGTCTTTGGTTTTGGAGCCAAGATCCCTCCTCACGGACAGGTATAAAAAGCTTTTCATTAACAAAAAGAAGATACAATTCTGCACTGAACCACTAAAATATTACTAATTATATGTCAAGGGGGCCGGATCAATACAATCATAACATAATTATCCATACATAACAATAAGTCTGTATTTTCCTGCATATAAGTACAAATACATTAAAACAATATATATATATTTAATGAAATATTTGACCAAACATCACTAACATTCAGTGTTTGTGCTTTCTTTCACTTTCTTTGTTCATTAAACGGGCCGTGTTGAGCCCCCGGGCGGGCCGTTTTTGGCCCTCGGCCCGCATGTTTAACACCCCTGGGCTAGAACCTGATGAAGAATATAGAGTTTTAATGTTGGTGATTTGTTATATTTCGTTGGTGTATAATCTTCAAAGCCTCTGTTCATGGTCTTTCTTCTGCCTGTGCAGGTTTCACATGAGTTTCCCATCACTTTCAATTCTGCGAATCCCTTCTGTGCAGGTATATTCACATCTTCTTCAAAGCACTAAACCTACATTAGTAATGCAGCTTCATTTTGCCTAACTCTGTGTGTGTGTGTGTGTGTGTGTTCAAAGGCATAGATGGTGTGGTGCAAGCATACCGGACATGTCTACCTCTGGTAACCCTTTGGGGTCCCACCAACTTCTCTCCAGTTATCAACCATGTGGCCTACTTCGCCAGACAAGCCTATCAGCAAAACAAGGCCTCGGCAAGTCGCCAGTCCGTCAGGAAATAATCAAAAGGGACAATTACCATTTTATAAATGTTTTTTCTCCTACTGCAGCAGTACTACGTGCTGCTTATCATCACAGACGGAGTGATCACAGACATGGACCAGACTCGCACGGCGATCGTACAGGCCTCCAGTTTGCCCATGTCCATTATCATTGTGGGAGTGGGCCACGCCGACTTCAGCCCAATGGAGTTCCTGGACAGTGACGACAAACTGCTGCGGTCCCCTCACGGACACACGGCTGTGAGAGACATCGTCCAGTTTGTTCCTTTCAGGGATTTCCAGGTAAGCAGCGATCAAACTCGTACGTAGGGATGTGACGCTGGATTTTGTAAATCGATTAAATATCGATACTAACGCGCGACAGTTGGTGTTGGTTGAAGTAAAAAAATAAAACACACATCGAGGCGTAAGGAGTAGAACGCGACATCTCAAAAAGTCAGTGGTCATACCATGAGACTACACACTATAGTACACTAGGTGGCGGCATGTGCCCAAAAACGTTGGGTCCAAACATGTTGCTTAATATACCATTTCAATCGTTAATGGCTCATTGTCATTGATCGTAATTTGTCCTGACCTCATTTATTTTCGTAAAGATCGTGATCAAAATGTACAAAACAATTCGTATTGTATCATGCGTCGAGCGCATCGTCACATCCCTACTTGTATCTCGTCTTTAATCGAAGCTTTAAAAACCCTTTGTGTCCACTTCTGTTTTCTAATTTAATACTGTATGTATTTGATAAACACTTACATGCTTTTCCCATGTGACCACCGCAGGCCAACAGTGTCGCCCTGGCTCAAAGTGTCCTGGCTGAGCTGCCGGATCAAGTGTCCACCTTTTTTAACTCTTATAATCTGAAGCCACCTAATCATTCCTCCGATTCTAAGCCTTCTTAGAAACACGGGATGTCTCACCTGAATAATTCTGCTCAGCCTCAAGCTCAACCTTTATCAATCGATGTTCATACTACTCAGACCTCTGCCCTCTTATGTATGGGGTAAAAAGGTATGAAAAATAAAATACAATCACTGCTGAGGTCACAGAGCAGTCAAATCAAATGAACTCTCCGTCCTGTATGATTCACTACACCTCAAGAATCAAGATTGATTTTTTTTGAAGAGTTTTTTTTTTTCTTTTTCAAACAGCTTCTTTCAGACCAACAGCTGAGCTAGGAAAAAGTGTGAGATAAAAAAATGCTGTTTGTTTTTAAGCCTGCGTTGAATGAACACGGCAAATAAATTGAAGCTCGATGGAAAAACACGGCAAATAAATTGAAGCTCGATGAAAAGTTTGAGTTTTTTTTTCTTTTTTTTTTTACAATGCTTGAGTTTTTGAATATATCATCAATATATACATTGATTACTGTGATTCCCCTCAGTGTGGGGACTACTCAGAACTCATGTAACATTACATCATGTGACGTCACACTCCAATGCCTTTATGTTGAACCAACTTCATAGGGAAGGTTTCCTCACAGGGGTCATCTTTCCTTTGAAGTGCTGAGGTCATCTTAAACAACACCCCCAAAATCAAGACCTAAAACCATCGAAGGTAAATAGTAAATAATAAACAAACAAAAAAAAAACATACTGGGGCAAACAGTGGTGATGTGATTTAATAAATTGTGACGGAGGTGAGGAAGACTGAGTAGGTTTGAAACTAACTTTGAAATTAAGTTGAGGCATGTGAGTTTGTTTGTTTGTTTGATTGTTTTGATTTTTTTTTAAAAATCAGGCTTTATCACAAAATTAACAATGAGTCAGCGACAGATTGTTCAGGCTTTTCAGGACTATCAAAAATCCAGGCTGCATTTTGTGCAGTCTGTTGCCGACCTGTCCGGCAGATCCCAAAACATAGAAATCCTCCACAACGCCGGCGTGATAGCCATGCTGCGCCTCTTGATGTTAGACGTCGTGCCGAGCATCCAGCAGACTGCAGCGTTGGCTCTGGGCCGCCTGACCGACCACAGTGAGAATCTTGCCAAGGCGGTGGTAAATCAAGACATCCTCCCCCAGCTGGTCTGCTCTGTGGCCTCGCAGACCCGCTTTTATAAGAAAGCGGCGGCATTTGTGCTGCGTTCAGTGGCCAAACACTCTCCAGAGCTGGCCTACGCTGTGGTGGCCTGTGGGGGCGTGGACGCCATGGTCCTCTGCCTGGAGGACTTTGACCCTGGGGTGAAGGAGGCTGCAGTCTGGGCTCTGGGCATAGTTGCTCGGCACAATGGAGTGTTGGGCCAGGGTGTGGTGGACGCCGGCGCTGTCCCGCTGCTGATCGCGTGTCTGCGGGAGCCTGAAATGGGTCTGAAATGCATTGCGGCATCCACCCTGAGCGACATCAGCAAACACACACCCGAGCTGGCCCAGACGGTTGTAGACTCCGGTGCCATCCCGCATCTAGCTCAAATGATCCTCAACCCAGATGCCAAACTGAAGAGGCAGGTGTTCTCTGCCCTCAGCCACATCAGCCAACACTCGGTGTGCTTGGCAGAGATGGTGGTAGAGGCTAACATCTTTCCTGCAGCTATCGCCTGCCTCAGAGATCCAGACGAGTATGTGAGGAAGAACACCTCCACTTTGATGAGGGAGGTGGTGAAACACACGCCGGAGCTCTCCCAGGTGATCGTGAACTGCGGTGGCATGGCAGCAATGGTCGATTATCTGTCCAACTGCAGTGGAAACTTCCGGCTGCCGGGCATCATGATGCTGGGATACGTGTCTGCTCACAGTGAGAGACTCGCCATGGCTGTAATAGTTTCCAAGGGCGTGCAGCTGTTGGCCAGATGTATGTCTGAGGAGTCCAAACAGCACATAAAGGCTGCCATAGCTTGGTCCGTTGGTCAGATTGGGCATCACACGCCCGAGCACGCCAAAGCTGTGTCCACCTCAGGGCTGCTGCCTAAACTGCTCCAACTCTACATGGACGCCGGCAGCTCGGAAGACCTGCAGATCAAAAGTAAAAAGGCTCTAAAGAGCGTTCTGCAGAGATGCACCGACCTCTCGTCCTTGGTGCCTCTCCTCTACGAAGCTCCATGCAACATCCTCAAACATGTTGTCTGCCAGTTC